GGGAAATTTTTTATAATTTAATAAAATTATCATATTTGCGGGATCGTGTTTTATTGTAGAGCGATAGTATCGAATTAATCTCCGGGTTAGCGAAAGACGACAATTAATCTTCTGCACTGTCTCGATTCATCTGCTTGACATGTGTCTCCTAATTTCATCGCGGGGGACTGCAATTTCCACGTTCAATTTCCGCGGATTAAGCGACGAGCGCAAAAAAAGAACGATAGACACGACCGATTACGTGATCGACTGCCGTTTACAGTGCAAGGATTACGTTTAATTGATGGGAAATGCAGCTATTCTGAAGAGCCATAATGTCGGAACATATTCTTGTTGAACATTAAGATAAAAAAAGGATCACGATAATGAAAAAGATTTAACGAAAATCAAAATTAAACGCGAACACATTTCTTTCTGAAATGATCCGACACATTTTGTGTTAAATGTAAAATTTACGCGGATAAATTTTCTCGTATAACCATCCTCCGTTCCTTCGTTTTATTTTTATTTACGTGTTGAAGACTTTTCAACAATTTTTTAATAGAATAAAATGTTTACGTGTCGGATAATAAAATAGGAGCAGGTAATAGATTAATTAATAGAATGAATCAAATTTCTCAGTTTTAGAGAGGAGAAATGTAACAAATTGTTAGCTATCTTGTGATTGTTTATTGAACACAATCGGAGAGCGTTTCGTTCACAATGAGAAATTCTTTTCGTATAAACCGTAGATTCGAATTTAACGTGAAATTGAAAATAAAATGAAAAAACTAGAAAAATTGTTGCAACACAATATAACATTATCGAATCGTACATGGTACTCCGATAAAAAAAGCGTATCATTTCGTATAGTTATAGGAGATTAATCAACAGCGATAATGAAGAAACACGTTACAAATACTGATAACTCTAATTATAATCGCAGCTCGAGTAAGGAGGAATATCTCGCCGGGACGATAATACTTGATCTATGAGAATGGAGGAATCCTCTGCGCGCATGTCTTTTCTCCCTTTCTCTTTTCCGGTCTTTCTCTTTCTCTCCTCCTTTCATTCCAATACAATTCATTAATTCATTCAATTTCATTTCGAACGCGCGCGTGGCAAAATAAATTCCGATTTAACGTAAATCGAACGCGCTCTAACCGGAAACGCGGCGTTTCTGTCGTGAGAAACGGATGAAGGTATTTCGTATACAAAGCAAACAAACGTCAATAGAAACACGGATTAGCGACGAAATGAAAGAACGTACTTTCGAATAAATTGACCCGTTGTCGGGGGAAATCGAGCATCGGCCGCTGTTTATCCTACTTCGATTTTACCCCACACAGCCACCCCGATAAAATACACCGGGTGGTGCACACGAACGCGCAAACAACGCCATACGCGTCGTATCCGCGTTTTGATCCGCATTTAAGACGACGACGTAAATATTTGCTGGGGAACGGCGGATTAAAGACGCCGACGACGACGAAGGGACAGAGAAAATATTGTTTCAAAGTCGATACCCACCACTACACGACACGGGAGGTACTGTAGATTGTTTTGTTGCTTACGTAAGAAAGTTAAACATAGAAGTGGAGATGATGGCCGGAAGAGGGAAAATATACAACTGGGGAGGAACCGTCTATAATCCACGGTGAAAGAAGGAGGAGAGAGAGTTCATCTTCTCTCTCTCTCACTCTCTTTTCGTAATCACGCAATTCCTCGGCGAGAGAGAGTTTTCGAGCTTCATCCTTCTCGGTTTTGCACGATTACGCAACCGCGCGCAAAAGTAGCTTTACCAGTGGCATACATAATGCCTCTCGCGTAAACGAGCTTCGCGCCTCGCGCGGAGTATTTTTCTCCGTCCGCGTATCGTCTGCGAAATTGCAGCAATTACGTTAATCGATTCGACCCAACCCGGGGAATGCGCAACCGGAAATATATTTTTAATGGATAGCGCATCTCATTTCGTAATTATCTTTGCGTGGGGCAACGCGCGAAACGGATCCCCGCCGTCGCCATTGGAACGAAATTAGAGCGGGCGAGTGCCCTCGTCGTTGATTTATTCCCCCAACAAGACGCGAAATTTATTATTCGCGGGCGCACGAGCGCGCCACTGTCTCGCGATTATTTTTTAATCGCGCGACAGGAGCTGCGTCGCGCAGCGTATCCCGCAGCAAGATTGAAGGTATACCAACGGCCCTTTGTATGGGTCTGCATTTTTTTTTGTGCAAACATCACGGGAAAGTTAAAAAATCGCCCGAGATATTTTGATGGTTTTATGAAATATTTTGCTTTATTATTCGTTTACCGTGATGTGAATAATGCAGGTGATGCATTTTTCTGCCTATTGCGCGCATAATTTCGGAGGTCCACATACGTGGAATATAATTCGCAGATCCGGTTCATTGGACTAAGCGAGATTTGAATGTTTAATTCACGAATTGTAAAATGGAGTTAATTCATTATCCGCAAACTTCGCAATTTTTCGCAAACCGCGGGATTTTTAAGTGCAGCGAAGCTGCTAATGATTTTGTCATGAAGGTAATGATATATGTTGATTAAAACATAAAATACTACGAGTGATAAAACTCTCAAATTTTTTCCCACATTTATAATACTCGGTATAGCTGAAAAAGCCTCACATATGTGCCGCACGATATGAATAAATCACTTGAATTACCGTGGATTTGCTGAAATTTATTTGGAAATTAAATTGGAGATGCGAGGCCGCGAAATATGATAATTTTTCTATGTACTTTTATCTAATAATAATAACCGTTCACAAAATAAAATACGGAATATACCTATCGAAAAATAGAAATTTTGCGTTTGTATGACCCTTTAATATATCTTGGAAACCTCTCACACTATTTACTCAGACAACAACGCGAAAAAAAAGAATACTCATGCGAATGTACCAAACGTTAAAAAATCGTCCGAGATATTTTGATGGTTTTATGAAATATTTTGCTTTATTATTCGTTTAAATAAACGGACTGATCGATAGTTTCAAAATAAAACAAGCCCGTGCGCTCTATATTTATTCTGCGATCAAAATCGATACTAAACACGATTTTCATAGACTTTTCTCGCGTTATTTATTCGTTCCTTCTATCAATCGGCGGACTCGTTTATTTACCTCTAACTAAGCAAATAAGTGATTTATGGAAAAGGCGGACTTTGCATGCATTCATATATATATACGCTTATGTATCATTTCCGATTGTACGGATGAACAGAAATAATTTTCGACGATCTTAACAAAAGATGATTAATCGGCCACTCGATGTATAATGGACGTCCATTATAGCATTGATTCGTTTTGATTGACGAATGCGAATTTATCGCGGAGACGACATTCTCTGATATAAATTATTCATTCTCTAACGACGCTTTTATACCAGGGTCTCGCGGCGACCTCGTGATAACGATAATTTACACGCAATTACGTAGAACAACGTGCGCGACCGAGAACTTTATTTTATAGTCGCTTTAAGGAGCTGTACGAGCCGGGGTCGAGTCTGCAAATTACGTTGAATGCGCGTCCCGGTGTAAATCGAATCGGAAGTCTGTCTCTTTCCGCGCGAAGATGCGCGTCTGATCTTTTAGAGGCTTCTTCGACTTGAAGGAGTTCTGAAAGAACAAATTTACTCTTACGACATCGGCAAGAGCTTCGAATTAAACGTGAATTTTATCACATTTATAAATAACACGTATTTTGATTTGCCGCGCCTGTAAAAGGCAATAATTCTTTTTTTTTTTTTTTCATTTTTAAGAAACAGAATAAAGTTTGATAAAAAGCTTGAATTATTAATTCAAACGTTTGGAACACGAAATTTTTACTTCAAACAAGCTATGTAATAATATTGTACGAAAGAATAGACAACTTTGAAATATTATTGAGGGACAAAATTAAATTTATTTGTGTACAGAGATGCTCGGAAGAAGTGATTCTTTGTGAATAAAATTGAAAGAGAGATGAAGTATTACTTTAAAAAGTATATTACTCACATACGTGCATTATATTCGTACTACTTTAAGAGTTTCACCGCTCATATATATACAGGATAAAGTTTCTTAGCGATGATAGATGTGCTATTAGATTAGAAAAAGACAACCAAGAGATAAATTATATATAGACAATCTAGAAAAATAGGAAAAAATAATGCAAAATCTCTTATTGACTTGACGCAGATATTTAAACCGTGGAAATAAACCAGAGAGAAAAAACACGTATATTGAATAAGTTACCAGTCAAACTTGATGTAATGACGATCCGATCCCTAAAAGATAGAAGCTACTTCTTTACTCTTAGAAAATGGGTCGATCCCTCGAGAAGGATAACGAGAGATTGATCGAGAATTTCGGCTGTAGTTAGCGTCGACCCTCCAGATCCGAGTGATAGATACGCTTTTAATATATATGGGGGGCTTGAACGTCATCGAAAACGCAGAAGGTAAAGAGGCGGGGTTCCTCCAACGCGAGGAAAAGAAAAAGAATAAGTGCAACGAGCAGAATCATCCCCGGCGCCAGTGGGGCGACGGAATCAACCCCGGTGAACGTTATCATAATGTTGTTACAGACTTCCGCCGATGGGAACACGACCACCAGCGTTTTATCTTTCATGGCGACGAAAGCAGACGCCGGTAGACACTTGTCGTGTCAAGCTGAAAATCGAATCATGGGAACCGCGCCGATAGAGGACGGCTGGATACTCCAGATACAATGTAAGCTCATAAACGCCGATGGTTCCTGCGACTGCGTTCTCTCCCTCCGGGGAGAGCGCGACGCTCTTTTCTTATTTATTCAGACGAATCCGGTCGATTTTGACGATTTATCGAAGATCGTGATTCCCAGACACTCCGGAGACGCAGATCCAGCTCGGCACATCGCTGAATCCCAACGCCATACGCGAGGGCACGGACGTATATTTCGACTGCCTTATACAGGCCGAACCGGTGGTTTATAAGGTGGAATGGCGGCATCAGGTGAATGAAAATATACTTTTATTCAGGACAAAATTTATATGTGTGTAATTTTTTTTATTTTCGATCCGTTATTTTATAGACGATTCAAGTACTCGGTGTTTCTTGATGTTCCTAATAAATTTGACATGACGTACAGCAAAAGAAATACATATACATATTTGATGGGTTTTTAAATTATTACAGAAATTTAATCTCAAATGATCTCAAATTAAAAATATACGAGCTATTTTCTAGCTGAATTATACATTAGCTCAAATTTATTCCTAGTATTATTTGGTAAATTAAATTTTGCATAAATAATTCAATTATTACTAAAATACAAATATTTCTATTTTCGAGAAGAAATTGATCGAAAAACAAGATATTCGCAGGTCGCATTACGAGAATCTCGCGTGTATCTCTTCATCTCTCGAGTCGTTGCGATTATGATTAATCAATCTTGAAAATGCGCAACAATGTTCGTCGCGAGTAATTCGTCCATATCCCGCGGAAGTCCGAAAAGTTCTAAAACCCGAGTGTCGTAAACAGATTGGTCTCTTGCCGGCTAACAAGCTCGATTATGCCCGCACTCGCTCGCGAGAGAGCATCGACTTACGTTAAGACCGAATACAAACTTCGGCGCTCGAAGCATCAAACTTTTATAATAACTTCTCGTCACTCGAGAGATGCGAGAGCACTCCCATATTCTCTCGCGCTTCCGACGAGGGAGATTGTACGGCTAGATTCTCACGTTACAAACACAAACACGCGTGCATACAAGCGGAAAATAATTTTCGCGCGCGGAAGGCTGGCGGTTCAATCTACCGACGAGAGAAAGAGAGAGAGAGAGAGAGGCGTCAATTATCGTGTTTCTTCCAGAGCAAGGCACTCCATCACAACATCACTCAGGGTATTATAATCAGCAACCAGAGCTTGGTGCTGCAGGGGGTCGATCGCAAAAGCGCCGGCAATTACACGTGCGTAGGATATAATACCGAGGGCGACGGCGAGAGCTCGCCCTTTTATCTCAACGTCATGTGTACGTATCCGCTAGTAGTAAGATACTCGATAAATCAGACCCTTCGATGAAACAATTTTATTTTCCCATGTTACGTATACGTATATATAAAGAATATTTAAAATTATTCTAAAATCATAATATATACAAACCTAGTTGAATTATTTTATATTTTACATTTTAATTATACAATAATATTATAATTTCTAATAGATAAACAAATCTGATAGTAGTAAAATACCCAATAGATCAGACGCTTTGATTAAACAATTTTATTTTCCCATATTACGTATACATATATATAGGGAATATTTAAAATTATTCTGAAATTATATATAAACCTATTTGAATTATTTGATATTTTAAATTTTAATTATACAATAATATAATCATTTTCAATGAATAGATTCGCTAGTAATAAGATACCCAATAGATCAGACGCTTCGATGGAACAATTTTATTTTCCCATATTACGTATACATATATATAGGGAATATTTAAAATTATTCTGAAATTATATATAAACCTAGTTCAATTATTTTATATTTTAATTTTAATTATACCATAATATAATTATTTTCAATAGATAAACAAATCCGATAGTAGTAAGATACTCGATAGATCAGACGCTTCGATGAAACAATTTTATTTTCTGATATTACGTATACATATATATAGGGAATATTTAAAATTATTCTCAAATTATATATAAACCTAGTTGAATTATTTATATTTTAAATTTTAATTATACCATAATATAATTATAAACAAATACCGTAGTAAGATACTACTAGATCAGACGCTTCGATGAAACAATTTGATTTTCTCATATTACGTATACATATATATAGAATATTTAAAGTTATTTTGAAATTATATATAAACCTAGTTGAATTATTTTATATTTTAAATTTTAATTATACCATAATTATTATTTTCAATAGATAAACAAATCTATAGTAGTAAATACTCGATAGATCAGACGCTTCGATGAAACAATTTTATTTTCCCATATTACGTATACATATATATAAAGAATATTTAAAGTTTTGAAATTATATATAAACCTAGTTGAATTATTGATATTTTAAATTTTAATTATACATAATATAATTTTTCAATGAATAAACAAATCCGATAGTAGTAAGATACTCGATAGATCAGACGCTTCGATGAAACAATTTTATTTTCCATATTACGTATACATATATATAAAGAATATTTAAAATTATTCTGAAATTATATACAAACCTAGTTGAATTATTTGATATTTTAAATTTTAATTATACAATAATATAATCATTTTCAATGAATATACAAATCCGGTAGTAGTAAATACTCGATAGATCAGACGCTTCGATGAAACAATTTTATTTTCTTATATTACGTATACATATATATAAAGAATATTTAAAATTATTCTGAAATTATATATAAACCTAGTTGAATTATTTGATATTTTAAATTTTAATTATACAATAATATAATCATTTTCAATGAATATACAAATCCGATAGTAGTAAGATACTCGATAGATCAGACGCTTCGATGAAACAATTTTATTTTCTGATATTACGTATACATATATATAGGGAATATTTAAAATTATTCTGAAATTATATATAAACCTAGTTGAATTATTTGATATTTTAAATTTTAATTATACCATAATATAATCTTTTCAATGATAAACAAATCCGATAGTAGTAAGATACTCGATAGATCAGACGCTTCGATGAAACAATTTTATTTTCCCATATTACGTATACATATATATAGGAATATTTAAAGTTATTCTGAAATTATATATAAACCTAGTTGAATTATTTGATATTTTAAATTTTAATTATACCATAATATAATTATTTTCAATAGATAAACAAATCCGATAGTAGTAAGATACTCGATAGATCAGACGCTTCGATGAAACAATTTTATTTTCCCATATTACGTATACATATATATAGAGAATATTTAAAGTTATTCTGAAATTATATATAAACCTAGTTGAATTAATTGATATTTTAAATTTTAATTATATCATAATATAATTATTTTCAATAAATAAACAAATCTGATAGTAGTAAGATACTCGATAGATCAGACACTTTGATGAAACAATTTTATTTTGCCATATTACGTATACATATATATAAATAATATTTGAAATTATTCTAAAATTATATACAAACCTAGATGAATTATTTGATATTTTAAATTTTAATTATACAATAATATAATCATTTACAATGAATATACAAATCCGGTAGTAGTAAGATACTCGATAGGTCAGACGCTTCGATGAAACAATTTTATTTTCTTATATTACGTTTACATATATATAAAGAATATTTAAAATTATTCTGAAATTATATACAAACCTAGTTAATATATTTGATATTTTAAATTTTAATTATACAATAATATAATCATTTTCAATGAATATACAAATCCGGTAGTAGTAAGGTACTCGATGGATCAGACGCTTCGATGAAACGATTTTATTTTCTGATATTACGTATACATATATATAGGGAATGTTTAAAATTATTCTCAAATTATATATAAACCTAGTTGAATTATTTGATATTATAAATTTTAATTATACCATAATTTAAGTCTTTACAATGATAAACTAATCCGATAGTAGTAAGATACTCGATAGTTCAGACGCTTCGATGAAACAATTTGATTTTCTCATATTACGTATACATATATATAAGGAATATTTAAAGTTATTTTGAAATTATATATAAACCTAGTTGAATTATTTGATATTTTAAATTTTAATTATACCATAATATAATTATTTTCAATAGAATAAACAAATCCGAAAGTAGTAAGATACTCGATAGATCAGACGCTTCGATGAAACAATTTTATTTTCCCATATTACGTATACATATATATAAGAATATTTAAAGTTATTCTGAAATTATATATAAACCTAGTTGAATTATTTGATATTTTAAATTTTAATTATACATAATATAATTATTTTCAATAAATAAACAAATCCGATAGTAGTAAGATACTCGATAGATCAGACGCTTCGATGAAACAATTTTATTTTCCATATTACGTATACATATATATAAAGAATATTTAAAATTATTCTAAAATTATATACAAACCTAGTTGAATTATTTGATATTTTAAATTTTAATTATACAATAATATAATCATTTACAATGAATATACAAATCCGGTAGTAGTAAGATACTCGATAGATCAGACGCTTCGATGAAACAATTTTATTTTCTTATATTACGTATACATATATATAAAGAATATTTAAAATTATTCTGAAATTATATATAAACCTAGTTGAATTATTTGATATTTTAAATTTTAATTATACAATAATATAATCATTTTCAATGATAACAAATCCGGTAGTAGTAAGATACTCGATAGATCAGACGCTTCGATGAAACAATTTTATTTTCTGATATTACGTATACATATATATAAGAATATTTAAAATTATTCTGAAATTATATATAAACCTAGTTGAATTATTTGATATTTAAATTTTAATTATACCATAATATAATTATTTTCAATAGATAAACAAATCCGATAGTAGTAAGATACTCGATAGATCAGACGCTTCGATGAAACAATTTTATTTTCCCATATTACGTATACATATATATAGGGAATATTTAAAGTTATTCTGAAATTATATATAAACCTAGTTGAATTATTTGATATTTTAAATTTTAATTATACCATAATATAATCATTTTCAATGAATAAACAAATCCGTAGTAGTAAGATACTCGATAGATCAGACGCTTCGATGAAACAATTTTATTTTCCCATATTACGTATACATATATATAGGGAATATTTAAAGTTATTCTGAAATTATATATAAACCTAGTTGAATTATTTGATATTTTAAATTTTAATTATACAATAATATAATCATTTTCAATGAATAAACAAATCCGGTAGTAGTAAGATACTCGATAGATCAGACGCTTCGATGAAACAATTTTATTTTCCCATATTACGTATACATATATATAAGAATATTATTCTGAAATTATATATAAACCTAGTTGAATTATTTGATATTTTAAATTTTAATTATACAATAATATAATCATTTTCAATATGATAAACAAATCCGATAGTAGTAAGATACTCGATAGATCAGACGCTTCGATGAAACAATTTTATTTTCCCATATTACGTATACATATATATAAAGAATATTTAAAATTATTCTGAAATTATATACAAACCTAGTTGAATTATTTGATATTTTAAATTTTAATTATACAATAATATAATCATTTACAATGAATATACAAATCCGGTAGTAGTAAGATACTCGATAGATCAGACGCTTCGATGAAACAATTTTATTTTCTGATATTACGTATACATATATATAAGGAATATTTAAAATTATTCTGAAATTATATATAAACCTAGTTGAATTATTTGATATTTTAAATTTTAATTATACATAATATAATTATTTTCAATGATAAACAAATCCGATAGTAGTAAGATACTCGATAGATCAGACGCTTCGATGAAACAATTTTATTTTCTATATTACGTATACATATATATAGGGAATATTTAAAATTATTCTAAATTATATATAAACCTAGTTGAATTATTTGATATTTTAAATTTTAATTATACATAATATAATCATTTACAATAGATAAACAAATCCGATAGTAGTAAGATACTCGATAGATCAGACGCTTCGATGAAACAATTTTATTTTCATATTACGTATACATATATATAAAGAATATTTAAAGTTATTCTGAAATTATATATAAACCTAGTTGAATTATTTGATATTTTAAATTTTAATTATACAATAATATAATTATTTTCAATGAATAAACAAATCCGATAGTAGTAAGATACTCGATAGATCAGACGCTTCGATGAAACAATTTTATTTTCCATATTACGTATACATATATATAGAATATTTAAAATTATTCTGAAATTATATATAAACCTAGTTGAATTATTTGATA